AAGAAAAAGGTGTCTTATTCTTTAGGTTGTCTTGTGAGAATCTGAGAATTAATATAGGCAATATATTTGACTAGCTTCATTCCTTTTCTGTCTGGATTTTTGCTGAAGCAATGAACCAAAAAAAGAAATCCTGATTCCCCCTCCTCATTCCGTCACTTTTAATCATTGCTGCTCTAATTCATTTACTCAGTCACACATGTTTCTGAACAAAAAGCAGATATCAGAAAAGCCTACCTTCCCCACATCTTGCTTGTCTTCTTTCTTCTCCTTACCTTTCCTTTCTTATTCTCTTTTAATCTCCATTTCTTTACATTCCTCTCCTATTTCTTATTCTTCTCCTTTCTTTTGCTCTTCTCCTCTCCCCTCCTTCACTTGATTGGAAGATTGACACGCTTGTTAGTAAGCTTTGTAGTAATATTCTTGACAAGCATAATACACTCACTGTACTTTTAACCAATATCAACAACCCCCCCCACACACACCCCTCTATCAGCACATTAACAAGCCCTCTGCATTCGGTCCACAACAGCTGTCTGTGTGCTTCATCACTGTCTGAATGTCCCATTAAGCTTTGCTTAATTCTCTCATCAGCATGATAAACCTGTTATTGATGCCACTAGCTAGAGTCAAGGGACATACACATTTGAGGTTGATAGAGAAAAAGACAAGCCACACCTGTCCTTTCCTGCAAAATGTAATCATTCTCAGCGATTGTTGGATAAAGGTCATAGATAGACTACATTCATTATCATTCAACCTCGGAAAGGCAATTAGATGATCCCTTCATTTTATGCTTAGTTGAGTGGCAAGAAGTATGAGCTTACAACAGCTTTTAAAAGTCAGAAATGAAGCACACACTTGTATTGTGTTCAATGTTTTTACTTGAAGGAAGCAGTGTGGCGATAAGTAACCTACAGTCAGCTTCTGTGTCAACAGGACACTGTGTCAGTGAGCTCTTCAACCAGGGAACCTACTCATTCATCTGCGGGACAAAAAGGAATTTCCCATCCTTTTTAGTGCTTTGGTGTTTGCCATCTGGCAAACATGTTGGCACGAACGTCTCCCCAAGTCCCTGAACTGTTCCATAAGTATACGATAAACACATACCGATAGCTGGCCATCAGACGGCTAAACGGTGGACATTTGCCTGCATAATTAACGATTGCATCTGTTTCCAATTGCACCGGGGCTCACTGGTGCTACCATTGCCCGCAGTGATGCATTCACAAAGCCAAAGATGGTAACACAAATTATATCAGGGAAGCAATTACAAACCCTATGTACTAAGACATCTTGATAACAGCCTTGGAGATGAAATGGACCTGGGCCAGGAAGTGCAGCTCACACAGAAAATATTATCTAAGTCTTTAATCAGTCTCTGTTTTACTGTATTAAACAGAGTGTTCTTTGAATTCTGTCATTGTTCTACATTTCCTTGTTGGCCATGGCTGTGTGATGTTTCAAATAAGCTTGAAAAACACCATTTCACAAATACACAAGGGAGGGAGACGACTGATGAAGGCCAAGGGCCAACAACCATTCTGTGTGCCAGTTTGCCGGCACATGCAGGTGTGTGTGTTAGTGAATGAAGAGTATGTAAAAGCTGCAGGAATACTGCCACTCATGCTGTGCATGGTCAAAAGTGAGATGGATGGCAGGTGCAGCACCTGAGAGCTGCTTTTCTCACACACTGTCAGTTTTAGTCTCCAAAGCCATCTATTTTCCCTGCCCAGGTGCCCCCCCCCCGCCTCCTCAGGGCCTGCTAACCAAAGACATAGACACTGGTCCATGCTCCCAACTACTAAGACGAAAGCCCTCTTCCAGTCATTGGGGATTTTTTTTTTTTACAAAAGGGGAAGAGAAAAAGAGCTTGAGATAAGGCTTCTTGCTGCTGCCACTGTCTAATAGTTAAACCTGGCTCCATGCAGCTCAATACACACAGGTGTTTCGTCACAACAGGACATGTTATTCAGAAGTCATTACAAGATTAAAAGTAACTTGGTTTCCTCATTCATGCATGCATGCCATCCGGCACACTTCATTGATTATGCCCAGATTACATTGCATTTATAATTCTCTACAGTCAGCATCTGTGGGGTAATTATATACGGAAATAGAAATGGAAGTTGGAGTAATCAGCACTATGTTGAAAAAAAAAAAATATAGCAAATCTTTGATAAAACATGCATGTGCAATGTTTTATGCAGCACATGTCAAAGACGTTTGTAGACCTATAGCACCGTGAATCCAGACTAAATGACTTACAAAACTATTAGATAGATTGCAATGTAGCAATGTCCAGGCATCATATGCACCAGGATGAATTATATTATATATAATATATCCAATAATAATGCAAAATATAAGTTATTGCAAAACCAATGTCATTCCTATCAGCCTCAGATATACTTGATGTTAACATGCGAAAACGCTAAACTGGTATAGTAACATTATACCTGCTAAACAGCAGCATGTGAGCATTGTCAGTGTAAGCCTGTAAGCTTGTTAGCATTAAGTTTAAGGCCCTGCCGTGCTTCATGCAGCTTGGCAGCATTTATATGTCGTTTTTGGTGGGGATAGATCAAACAAATTAAACTATAATAAAAAAACATAACATGTCATGACAACTTGCAAGTTGTCATAGTTACACGAGGTGTGATGGGAGCTCAGCTGTAAGAAAACATGTGACCATCAGAGCGAGTGATGAAAAGATTTTTTCAAATGGTGAACAGATCTCAACTAAATTCTGGTACATCTGAACCCTCAATGCAGACTTACAGTCAGAGATCTGAGCAGCAACAACATTGAAATGCACTGAACTCTACAAGACCGGCGGCTTAATGGATCAGGTTTTAGCTGCTTGCAGAATTAAGACATCCATCATTGTCAGATAGAAATTCCGCTGTGGTACTGTCCAGTCCCAACATCAATTATGTGTGATGTTGCTCTTGTCTTTCTGCACAAGGTTTAAACAAGATACTACAAGTTGGAGATGGGCAGGAAAACCCAGTCTGAAAAACTGTAGCTGTCTACATTTTGCAAAGTGTAATAGTCACATGTACTATATGAGCTGATTGAGTCATCTAAGACTACATACTGTATTGTGTGACAGTGACATTTAAATTAAAAGTCGATTCGAGATCTCTCTTTGCTAATTTAGCCACTGTAAAGTTGGTTCTGCTGTCTCGGGAACCCTCAAACTGATAACCACTGATTTGCAACCACTTTATGTTTGCCATTGTCATTCAATATTATTCACAGGACACAGAAATGCTAATTTAGCCCATGCAACATTTAATGTATTAGGCTCCTTTTTGGGCTTTATTTGAAGAGAGATGCTCAAAGCCAGAGTTTGAATTCCCTGGATTTCTGTTTTTCTGGGACATGTCTGCTGCAGCTATAAAAGAGAGCTAGAGGTGGTTCTTCCACAGCTCCCTCAATATGGGTCCACTTACTGACCCCAAAACTATGGCATTCAGCTGCGTGCAATCATGACCAGAGGACTTGCAGGATTTTATTTTCCACCGTTACATGATTCCACCTTTTAGATCTCTGCTCCCTGGTTGAAGCTGGGTTAATCAGATAAATCAGATGCTGTTGTGTGCAGCTGGAAATACAGCAGTCTCTGGGGTCAGGATAGCAGAAGATTGAAACCACTATTGAAGGAGACGCTGCTCAGTCATCCCTCTTTACTTGTGACCTTTAACCTATGAGGTCTTTGGCTGTTTGATCTTTTAGTGGTGTCACAAATGCCACAAGATGACATTACTTCCAAAACCATTCTTTCTGACAAAGAGATGGAAGAAAAAAGGGAGACCTTTCTATCTTGCACTCCTGTGGTTAAGGCACCGGATTGTGTTCGACTTTGTGGCTTCACAGCAGAGACTTTCATGCTGAGATCAGTGGCCACTTGAGACCTTCCTTCCAGATTACACGCTCGATGTGCAGATGTTAGTATTAAGTCGCACACAAAAAAGCATGCATACTTAAAACTCATCGCAAATCCCTCAAGAGGTCATCTTTAATATTTCAATTAGGAGATAATGCATGTTGTTTTTGTTTCATTGTGCTGAACAGGGAGTCATAGTCAAACCACTCTTCTCATAACAGGAGAAGTGCTAAGATTGCTCTCGCTCCTATCCTAGATAACACCTCCTCAGAGATGCCTAATACACTCAAGACTTTGTTTATCAGGAGTCAGAGATAAAAACACACAGCTTTGCATGCAGATGATTGCCAAAGAATTACAAGAGGATGTTGTTCTGAACTATAGAAAACTAGTATTAAGGATTCTTATCAGAGCTTTCAGTATAATAAACAAGCCATACTTCCCGAGAAAAGCTAACCATATGGACTATTGGTATTGTTGGAGCAGAGGAGTGGATCTTACATGCATGTAGAGAATATCTCATGAACATTTGACCTGCTGCAAGCTGCTTATGCTGGGGCAGTCCACCGGGAAAGGTGTACATGTTCAGCTGCATAATGCTTATCAATTTACAAATTAGAGGCCTAAAAAACTAATGATGCATTGGAAAAGTAAAAAAAAGAAGGTTTTATCTGAAATGCAAATAATTATTTGAAATAGATTCAATTTCAGCTTTTGACACTTTTTTTTTTTTAATGTTATTAATTGCTTGTCTTCATTCGGTTGTATCCCTAAGTGAAATATTAATGATATGAAAATCTGGATTTATTGTAATAACCTAGAAAGGTATTTTAATACATGAATCAAATACATTCTTTGTGAGGAAACTAAATGTTTTATCTAAAAGTTTAAATCTGTACTGGGATCTATTTATAATACTATTTTGTCACAAGCATGTTCCAAAAGGAATGAAAAATTAAGATCAACACAATATTCCAGATATTGTTCACATTATATGCTACTTAAACTTTGTAAAGATAAACATTAATTGCCCTGAAATCCATTGGATGTTAGTACAGGACATTTCACATTTACCACATTCTTGACCTTTTTCGTTTTTGACTTTCCACAGAGCGACAGTAAAGAAAGGTGTGACCTTTCGAACAGCGACACCTAGTAACTCTTTACTGTGGGACATCACTCTGGATATGGGCGCAGATGGAGACATCGCTGTTATTTGTCAGAGGAAGGCTCCCATACCTGGGAAAAGGCAAGTCTGTTTTTCTCACATTACTCTGTATGCCAGTGTATGCTATCCATCTGTGTCTAGTTTGTTGTGGCTGGGACTTTATACATATTTATGGGCTTAGATTGCTGTCGTTAGAATGGACGAAAAACACTCCAAAGGTCCAAAGGGAATTATTCACGTACTATTGGTTGCTAGTGTCTCTAGCTGATAAAAGCTGCACCATTGTGATGAATGTCCTGCAAAGAATATCAGTATTTGTCTCAGTATACTCTGTGGAGTAAAAGACAAACCATCTACGCTGTACACGCCTGACAACAGCTTACTGCAGGAGAATACTGTGCTGCATACTGGGCGGACATGTCTTATACTCTCTAAGCACAGGTTGGCTACAGGTGTTCCTATAAAGCTGCCACTTGTAAACAGGTATTCCTTTCCCCCTTTATGATCCTCTCCTCCTCTGTGTTTTAATCATTTCTAAACATTTACCAGCCACATGCATCCACAGTATGCAGTAGAACATATATCTAACCTGTGACTTATAATTTAAGCAGGGAAGGTTATTATGACAAAACAGTTGTGGGTAATTTTCAAACTTGGCACCACAATTATTTACAAGACAATGCATGTAAAGGCTGGTCTGATCCTACTTATTGGGCCTTCTAGGAAGTACTTAACTTCTTGCCCTGTTACCTCATTAAAGGACACTACAGCCTTGCGTGAACAAGTGGCTTATCTCAGATGTCCTTTCATTTTCAGCTAAGTGCATTCCATTGTACAGTGAGGTTAGCTGAGGCCGTTAAAGAGTTATCACATAATCCAATGCCTCCTGAGATTACAGGACTCTTTTTGTTTAAAAGGGAATAGGAACACATATTTATCTAATGTCCCGTCAATCCTACTCTGTCTCGCCACAACCGAAGCTTAAGGTTAACCTCTCTTGCAGTTCTCTCATATTACATAGAATAACGTTTTAAGACTAAGTCTAATCTTCAGCCATGTTAGTGGCTCTGTGCAGCAGAGCTACAGTATGACACAGGAGTAAGGATACTTTGTGCTAAAAGCTAGCATCAGCATGGCAACTTGCTTACAACGACAATGTTAATGGTTGTTTAGCAGATACATCACGCAGGCAATTTTGCTTGTGATCATGTAATTGATGACTGAGTCACACTGATTAAGACCTCTGCTCTGGCTCCCTTGAGCTTTGACAAAAATCAGAAGGAAATAAAATAAAAGTATTTGTAGGACTATTTAAAAAATGTTGCATGGTTGAAAATGTTTCGTATCTTGTATTTTAAGGTGATACTGTGACACATAAATAAAATCAAAACGATTTGAATTAGGTCAACTAAAATATGCGTCATATCCTGCTGCGGTCCCGCACCAGCGCCTTTTCTTGCAGGTGAATAACCTGACCTCCGGCTCGATGAGCGAACTATGGATAAATCAAAGAAAATATCAGAGGGTTTAATTCCGCGTGGACAGAGTTATATGCTTTCACAGCAAACAATGCTGGCGTCCCCGGTATGTTTGATATGTGGAGAGGAGTTATCAAAGGAGGTGCTGCAGCAGAGGGAAAAAAACGGACGCGGAAGACAGCTGACGATCTACAGTCATAATTCAATCAGTTAACTCTTTTTAGGGTGCACCAGGCACCTATATGTTTTATTTATTTCAAAGTGGGTATATTTTAATTTTACTTATTTTATTCAAATGTGCAGAGGACTCCCCAAGTGCTGTGTTTAATTTATTTTAAAGTAGGCCTGTGTATTATTATTATTATATTATTATTAGAGGTTAACAGTTTTATATAATATAATAAATAATAAACACAAAAAAACTGTAGTTTTAGACTGTAGTTATAACAATATGTACAACTTTATAAGCTATCAAGCTATCAAATATATTTTGCGGCTCCAGACAAAAAATATTGTTGGAAAAAATGTGTCTTTTGGTCAAAAAGGTTGCATACTCCTGCTCTAAGGGTAAAGCATGATAACTGCTTATTAACACCAAACATGATTTTGTTATTTGGTTAGATACCAAAGTACTGGTTGAATTCAAATCTAAACCTAAAGAAGTTGCTCGATACAAATTTGAAGGGGCCCTATGCTTATTGGGGTTTTGCCTTTCCTGTGGAGTGTTACATTTTTTTTTTGAATGTAAATGGTATGCGAAGGCTAATCACAAAGTTCCCTCACACCCCCTGCCTGAAACGCCTCCTCCATTGGACTTCTTTCGTGTACTTTGGTAACATAATGACATCACTATGTAACTCGTGCTTCTCTTGGCTAGTGCTCCAACACATTGTAAGAGATATTATAAGGGACAGGACATCTCTAAGCAGTTGACCAATCACAACAGAGCCGGCCAGTTAACCAATCAGAGTAGACTGGGCTCTGGTTTCAGACAGAGGGTGAAAAGAGGTGCTGCAGCACAGGCACAACAATAAAGCACGTAATCATGGCATCATTTGTCCTCTTTTAGGGATAACCAAAGTGATTATAATTTATCCTAAAGGAAACAAGTGTTTCCACCAAATTGCATGGCAATCTATCTACAGTAATAGTTGTGTAGACTTTTCTCTCAAAAGAACGAATCAACCTCAACCTCAGTGAAAAGTCGTTGCACCATCAAAATCCTCTTCGTGGGACACATGCATAAAAACTTAAATATTTCAGTCAGGATGTAAATTGTGGACCAACAGACAAACTGCCAGGCTGCTAGCTTGGCCAATAAGTCATTTAGTGAGCTGACAATCCAGCTTTCTTTGTGCAGGAGAATACTATTTGTTGTTTTTGTATATTGCATTTAATCATTTTTCGTCATACCCCTGTATGGTCCCAATTGTCAGGGACCAAGCAGTAAGGCAACAGGACACAGGAGTGGTTTAAATAAACTAGGGTTTTTATTTACCCAAAAGTCCACAGAAAACATCGTTCTATAACTAGGCCTATAAAAAGAGGCCAACAGAAAATACCTCAAAGAAACATAACAGGTGTTAACTCAACAAAACTGACCTGCAAGTCAGAAAGCCCAACTGCTTCAATTTAAATAGACGGCTGGAGGACTTCCTAAACATCTTAAGTATGGAAGAAGCTGCTTTCTCCCAGTTATATTTGGTTAAGCCAGACAACAGGCTTTGGGATAAGATAAGGGCTTTCCTGGACTCAAACCATCTCGGCTGCCAACAATACATATAACAATATATATTAATAAATAAAGAGAAATGAGCTATGAAGAAACAGAAAAATAACGGTAATAATAATGAAAGAAGTGAAATTAAATGGGAAATAGGTGAATTAATCATAAAAGGAAGAGATGTGTGTATGTATATGTACATATGTGTGCATATATACAGTGGGGCAAAAAAGTATTTAGTCAGCCACCAATTGTGCAAGTTCTCCCACTTAAAAAGATGTGAGAGGTCTGTAATTTTCATCCTAGGTATACCTCAACTATGAGAGACAAAATGAGAAAAAATAAAATCCAGAAAATCACATTTTAAAGAATCTGGTTTTTAAAGAATTTATTTGCAAATTATGGTGGAAAATAAGTATTTGGTCAATAACAAAAGTTCATCTCAATACTTGTTATATACCCTTTGTTGGCTATTGCAGAGGTCAAACGTTTTCTGTAAGTCTTCATAAGGTTTTCACACACTGTTGCTGGTATTTTGGCCCATTCCTCCATGCAGATCTCCTCTAGAGCAGTGATGTTTTGGGGCTGTCGCTGGGCAACACGTTGATTTCATCTGACCATATGACATTCTCCCAATCCTCTTCTGGATCATCTAAATGCTCTCTAGCAAACTTCAGAGGGGCCTGGACATGTACTAGCTTAAGCAGGGGGACACGTCTGGCACTGCAAGACACCTGGCGGCGTAGTGTGTTACTGATGGTAGCCTTTGTTACTTTGGTCCCAGCTCTCTGCAGGTCATTAAATAGGTCCCCGTGTTGTTCTGGGATTTTTGCTCACCGTTCTTGTGATAATTTTGACCCCACGGGGTGAGATCTTGCGTGGAGCCCCAGGTCGAGGGAGATTATCAGTGGTCTTGTATGTCTTCCATGTTCTAATAATTGCTTCCACAGTTGATTTCTTGCTTACCTATTGCAGATTCGGGCCCCGGCCACACGAGGACGCATACGGCTAAACGCATAGGATTAACGCAAACACAATCGCTAAAAAGTTTCCGTCCACACGCAATGTTCACCGGATAGTGTCTGTCCCATGGTCTGTCCACACGAGACAGCTCCGTTTAGCTCCAACCACTGGAGAAGCTGCAGTACATATGCAGGAGCCTGTACGTGGCGCAGTAACATCCTCCACAAAAGCAGCGAAGAAGCATGGTTGCCCTTCTGTTTATTCTCCGCGGTGGGGGCCGAGGGAACCGGGCAGAGTTTTTCGCCAGTCAACGTGTATTAAAGTTTAAATCTTCCGGACAAAATTATAAAAGTGCCGGTCAAAGGTCTTCTTTGTTATTTATTGAGCTTTAAAATAAATGAATAACGACTCTATATAATATAATAATATAATAGGCTACATGGAGCCTCTCTTTTTCCTCCCTCTCTTCGGACAGCGTCAGTGTCTGTCTCAAGCAGCAGCTGATCCAGTAATGAGTGACCCGGCCGACAGTAACAATAAACATATTTATAACTAGTTTAGGTAGTTTGAGAGGCAATTAAAATAGCTAAGGGTGATGATCTGACTTGAAGTGTGTGTTTTGATCCGTTCACCGCTGCATCACAGCGGGAGGAGCTGCAGGTGAGCAGAGCTGCGTGTCTCCGTCCTGTCGGATTAGACTTCACTCGCGTTTATGTCCATATCGAGAAAAAGATAAATAATCTGAATTCAGTG